GCCTCCAAAGCCAATGTGGCCTCCAGGCTTAAGTTCCAGGCTTTGGAACATATGCCTTCTTCCCGTCATGTGTCGCGAGCAGCCAGAGTCCAGGTACCATGACTGGTGTTTCTGACTTGCTGCTAAAGATATCTGCAACATGTATTATTTTATCCTTAGGTACCAAGATTTTCTTGGGTCCTGATTTGTTAGTTTTACCAAAACTCTGGTTGAATTTTGGTTTCACAAAGTACTTACTGCTAGTGTATTTAATATCATGTGTGTGACCATACACAAAATGTGAATTCAGAGGAGTGTGTTTAATGGTTAAGTCCATGACATTCTTTGGTGTAGGAACCTTACCTTGGTATCCTATTCCTTTCCTGCCATTTCTGCTAACTCCATAGATCATTGAAGCCATTTTGCTTCTATCTATGCTTTTAGCAAGGAACTTCTGGAAACTGTGATCATACTCCTTGATGATCTCATCAGCGTTGCTGGGAGTTTCAGAAATTGGTTCCTTCTGAGAGTTTTGTAAAGTATTTTCTAATTTTGAAATCTTATTTCTCAGCTCAGAATTCTCCAATTTGAGACTCTCAGTCTTATTAGAGTCAGATTCAAGATTCCTTTTCAGGTCTCTGAATTTAACTCTAATTTGTTGATACCTTTCCAGAATTTCATTAAGGCTTTCAGCAAGTTCAGCCTTGGTAAAATTAACAGCAAAGTTAGGAAATACCTCTTCAGTGTCTGATTCAGAGTCTGATTCAGAAGCTTCACTATCTTCTGAAATGTTAGCCATGAGAGCTATGTTTTCCCTCTCATCATCTGATTCTGAGTCAGCTTCAGACGAGTCAGAGTCATCCCATGTAGCCATGAGACTTTTCTTCTTTTCTCTCCCAAACTTCTTTTTGGGCTTTTCCCTCTGAAGCTTTGGACAGTCACTCTTGTAGTGTTCTTGCTCATTGCACTCATAGCAGATGATGTCCTTGGTGTTTGGCTTTTTGCTACTTGAGGAGCCTTCAGATCTTCTGTATCCAGAGGAAGAATCTGTCCTTCTGTATCTGGAAGAGGACTCGTTCTGATCAGATCTTCTGGGATTCCTGAACTTCCTTTGCCTCTGCTTCCACAGTTGATTTACTCTTCTGGAGAGGAGGGAGAGTTCGTCTTCTTCTGATGAGGATCCATCAGATGTTTCTTCAACTGCCTGCAAAACTTTAGACTCAGATTTTTTGTTAGATTTTAATGCTAAAGGCTTACCTTGCTTCTGAGGCTCGTCAGCTTCTAGCTCTATCTCATGACTTCTGAGGGAGCTGATAAGTTCCTCCAGAGTGATTTTGTTGAGATCTTTTGCTAGCTTCAGAGCTGTAACCATTGGTCTCCACTGCTTGGGTAAACTTTTGATGATTTTCTTGACATGGTCAGCAGTAGAGTATCCTTTGTCCAGAACCTTGAGACCAGCTACCAGAATCTGGAATCTTGAGAACATTGTTTCAATGGATTCAGATTCTTCCATTTTGAACGCCTCATACTTCTGAATGAGCGCCAGAGCTTTAGTTTCTTTGACCTGAACGTTGCCCTCATGCGTCATTCTGAGTGAGTCAAAAATGTTCTTTGATGTGTCTCTGTTGGAGATCTTTTCATATTCAGTATAGGAGATGGCGCTGAGAAGGATGGTTCTGGCCTTGTGGTGATTCTTGAAGTCACGCTTTTGTTGGTTAGACATTGTTTTTCTATCAATCTTCTGACCGCTTGCATTCACAGGGTGCGTGTATCCATCTGTCACCATATCCCACAGATCAGCATCATGTGCCAGAAAGAAGCTTTCAATTCTGTCTTTCCAGTAATCAAAGTTTTCTCCATCAAAGACTGGAGGTTTGCCGCTGAATCTGTCTATGTCCTCATGGTTGTCATTGCTGGTGTGAGAATAAGTTCCTGCCATTGTGTTTTTCTGACGCTGGATCTTGTACTGACACGGTTAAGTGTTTTAGCTCAGAACCAGGCGCTCTGATGCCAATTGAAGAAGTGAAAAACACAAGAAGGGGGGGTTGAATTGTAAACTGAAAATCAATGCAATGAACAAGATATTTTTATCCTGGTTCATTTGATCTCAAACTACTCAAGTCCACCCGTCAAGGTGATTTCGCCTCTCTCCAACGAGGTCTTAATCCACTATATTCAACTGAATATTACAAACTGCTTTAACAACTGCTAAAGCCTTCTTGATGCAAACCACAACCCGGTTTGTCAAGGAAACACTTTCTTACAAAGAAGATAAATCTAGGTGTGTGAATGTTTTCTACAAAACTGTATCACAACTGTGATGTATACACAACTTAAGCTTATAAAACTAGATTGCTAAACAATGATTGAGTAAGAAGATATGTAGCGTTTAGAAAACTGAGAGAAGGAAGATTATGATTAGCTTTTAGGCGTGTAAAATGTTGGAGAGCATTAGCCAATTCAATCTTCATAGTCTTGTTTATATAGCACTGAGATTCTTGAACGTTGGAGCAATATTCTTGATTCAATGCTAATAACAAACTTTCCTTATTGAGCAGATCTTGTCTGGAATGAGGCCGTTGGTAAATAATTTGCTTTCAATGCATAGTACCGTTGTTACTTAATGCATGTTCTGGCTTGGCTCATTCTGATTCTGCTTAACTGCTGATGAACTGTTGTTTTATTTATCAGAGTGTTGAGCGCAGTTCTGTTCATCAAGCTTCATCATACACGTGAGTTGATCTTCTGATTCTGGTATTCTGATAAAGCAACTTCTGATGCTGGTGTCAAGAACCAATATTCTGATGCTGATTAAGTGTGTTCTTGTTGATACCTATCAGAGTTTCTGCAAAGCAAAACATAATATTTTTAGGTAGCAAATAGTTCATACATGAATCATATAAATAATATATCTTTTCATTTTGTTATCATCAAAACTTAAACATAGGGTAGTAGATTCAAACTTTGTTCTAACAACATCCCCAAGTTTGGCGACTTTTCCAGTATGACAGGGAGGGGAGTATCTATGATTTCCCGAGATAGAGAACCGCGGGGGTCGTCCTCGTCGCTCCAGCTCGGTGACTATGGTGGAGAATATTTGTGCTTCCCTTGTCGAGGACTATCATCCCGACCGGGTAATGAGCTTCTTGGTCGGCCTTTTGGCTTGCGCGGAGGTGAACAATGGTAGTCTAATTGTTAATCGACTTTGGTTTTCTTGGAAACCGGGGAGCGTCGGTCCTTGCGACGAGGAGTGTGATTGTGCTTTTTGATCGAGAAGCGGCTTGGTCATCGTGGTGACGGACTTCGAGATCCATATCGTTGGCGTCTTCCCGGGGGAGACTTTGAACAATGTTCTTTCTCCAATGCCCCGATACTTTCATTTTGTTGGTGGATCAATGCGTTAGTTTGGTTGAGGGCTGAGACTAGGGCTGCCATAGTCGGACCGATGTTGGATGGTATCAGAACCGATTGAAAGTTCTCTGTCGCCCCTTCTTGGGTTTTCTTGGTTTTGCTAGTTTCCACGAACTGGACGTCGTCGTCTTTCGCCTCGTTGGAGGAAGGAGATGCGGCGCGACCATCTCTCCTCAAGGGGATGGTTTCTTCGAGAAATGGCATTTCTCCGTTGTTCTCAGTTTTACGGACAGGTGAGATGACGTTTTTGTGAGTGTTATTGTCGTCGTCTTGATCAACCATGATCGGATCTTGAAGGTTTGCTTTAATCTTTTGGTTTCAAGGAAAGAAAATATGGGGAAACAATGATTTTCACAGACGGCGCCACTGATCTTACTAGTGATCAGAACCTGTAATGTGCTAGTAACTTCATCCGCAGTGCTGAGAATCAACAAAGGGGGAAGAATATACCTGCAATTGACTCTGATGCTCAAGTAAGTAAGAGTGTAGAGGTAAGTGATAGAAAAATGGTTAAGAGTTGAATATCTGACCCCTATGTAGGAGGGTTTTTATAGTACCCCCAACGTTGAATCAATGGTTCCATTATGGGCCAAATATCTAGGCCCAAAAATAGGTAACTGTCAGGATTTCTGCGTGAAAGCAGGAACGAGAAGCTCGTGCTCGCCATCCTGGAGAACTACCCCGCATCTCGCGGGTAATTCGCGAGCTAGCTGTCACCAAGAGCAAAAACGTATACTGCCAGCTACGCGAGAAGTGCGAGATCAGTTAGCCACGTGTCCTCAGGAAAGAGGCACACGAAAGATGTGCTTCCAACTGGTCGTAATGAATTGAGTCAGTGCTTCTGAGTCGTCCTTAATACAGGGATGGATTGGACCAGTCACAGACTTAGTCCAAAAGAGTGCCATATCCGTATCATACCCATTATCATCCATGCTTGCATGTTTATATTTAATAATGACTTAATATGATAAATATTAGAATAAATTATAAAATTGCTATTTTAAAAATTTATATATATTTTGAGAATAAATTTTAAATTCAATAAAGAAATAAAACATATTGAAAATTTTATAAAATAAAAAAATGGAACAACTTTTTTATAAAAACTCATTACTATGATTACATTATCAATTACTTCTTTTTATTAAAAAACATGAATACATAAGAAATTCTATTATTTAAAATAGATATGACATATAAAAAATAGTAGATGTTATATATTAATGACAAAACTGTCATTAAGAAAACTATATTTTATTTCAAATATTTTAAATCAATACTAATTTTTTTTAAATATTTTTCAGCTTTTTTCAATTAAATTGTGTTCTAGTAATAACTTTCAATTTTTTTAAATTTCTTTTCTCCTTTAGAAAATACGTTTATAAAAAAAAAATCTCATTATGTTAATTTTCTTATACTTTTTCTTTAAAATATTCTTGATAGTTAAATATTATATGATGTAGTCAATATTTGATATTCAGTCAATTATATATAATTATTACTACAAATTCTTGTAACACCTATCTTAGATGTCAGCATATACCATATAAATGTTGTATAAATTAATAGTAATAATCCTCAACTTTACTCAACTCCTTTCAATACGAATCATGAATATGTTTGGATTAAACACACAAAAATCCTATCTCCCTTTTATTCTTCTTGTAACTCTGTTACTCATTTCATATTCAGCTCAATCCATTAGGTTTGAATTATCACATGGCAAAGACGCAAGATGTTTCTCCGAAGATTTAATCAAGAATTCGATGATAGTTGGAAACTACTCAATCGTCAATCATAACAAGGATCATCCTTTACCTCCTGACCACACTATTGCTGTTCAGGTATTGATTTAAAAACCATTATGCTAGGTATATGAAGTTGATTATTGAGTTATTTTTGTGATTTAATAATTGTTGGATTTTATTAGGTGTCTACGCATGGGGTTACGAATGCTATAATATATCGGGCAGATAATATTCAATTAGGGCAGTTTGCATTTACGGCATATGAAACTGAACAGTACTTGATGTGTTTCATGGGTACAACTGATGATTCCAATGTAAACTTGTCTATTGATCTTGATATGAGAACTGGAGTCACCACGTTGGGTTGGCCTAATATTGCAAAGAGAAGCAACGTTGATGTAAGTTTCTCAAATTTTGCACTTATATTGACAATCTATTTTTTATTCCTAGTTTGGACCACACTAAATAAATATATGGAGGAGAAGAAACTCTTTCATATTTAAATAAAAATAATAAAATAATTAAAAAATAGCATTAAAATTTTAAAGATAAAATATGAGTTGAAAAGGAACAAGCTTTTAATCACAAAAAAAGAAATTTCTAACATAAAAAAAGAAGTAGTGAATTGGATATAAAGTCTAAACTTTTAATATTTTTTTAGAGATAAATTATAATTTTATAAAAAAATAGAATTAGTTTTATAAATTTAATAAATTATATGTTAGCATCCATTTCATCTCCTCCAAAAAAAACCTCAATGCGGAAGATAAAAAATCATTCTACAAGAGATTTAAATTCTCTCCCAAAACATTGAATCAAACACTCTTCAGTTTAAATATTTCAGTCTCTCCTTTTCATTGTTATATAATATTGTATTCAAATTTTGGGAGGAAGGGGATGTATTATATAATACAGAATGGGTAAATAATTATTTTGATTTATCAATGTGTTTTATTATTGTACTCTTTGAATATAACAAAATTGCAATTTTTTTTGTAATTTTATGAATTAAATTAATTTACAAAAATAAATAATTGAAGTGAATAATGAAAGAGATAATTAAGAATAAAAATATCAAGTATATTCATTATTCAATAATCTAAAAAAACATCTTTATTTATAAATAAGATCGGAGGAACTTCTAGTATTGATTTGATTTTCTTAACTTGCGACAGAGAATGGTACATGAGGTACAAAATTTACATGAAACTGCATTATCTATTCAAGAAGAGATGTCTTATCTTCTACATCGGTAAGTGTGTATATTTGTTTGTCTATTTTTAACTATTAATTCAATTTATAGCCCTAGGATTCTTATTTTATTTAACCAATTTTTTATTTTTATTTTTCAGAAATACAGAAATGCTAGAGCTCAATTGGATAACTGATAATAGAATGTTCTTGTGGATTTTTGTTTCGTATTTTGTCACCTTCTCAGTAACAGGGTTACAACTATGGCACTTGAGGACTTTTTTTCGGAAAAGGAAATTGATATAGTTTTTAATATTGATAAGTTATACATCTTAATTTTCTTATGTGCTTAATAAAATATATTTGTGTCAGTTTATTGGGATAAGAATAAATGAGAATTTTTGTATTACATTATCTATTCTTGATTGACGAATAAACAGTATTATAAGAGATAATGTGTTCGGTATTGGTAGGTAAGACCTAGCTCATTTTCCATAATATTGATATGGTTAAGTTCGATATTGTACTTGTTAAAAAAATATAATAAAGTAGTTAACAAAAGTATAATAGAGTATACCAAGAGACAACTTCTACTTACGTAGGGTTGTATGAGATTTTAAGCTTTAAAATGTCTTAAGAGTTTGTCTATCGAAGATTGTGAAGAACTCCTGTATATTTTTCTAAAGGAATTTTGTAATTCTTTTCTCCTTTTATAAACAAGGTATACATACGATATTCGTTGGATTTGGATTTAAGGTTCAAATTAGCAATTTCTCTTTCTTTCGATCAAGGATGAGCGAGTGGGAAGGTTGAGTCCTTTATACAATCAGGGGAGGAACATTTATTCCTTGTTCATTTCCTTATTCGATGTGCGTCAGGTATCTCATCAGCTATATCAGTATAAAACATGATTCAGTTAGGGTGAGTAAGCACATGCCCAATGTAATGACCAACTTTGAGTGCTTGGAGTAAGTATTCAGTATGGGCGGCCCACAACACGATGTTGGGAGTTGATGGCACTCTGTCATTGCATATATTCTGTCGAAGAAACAAAGAAAAACAAGCCAAAGATAATTTAATTTGATGAAGAATAGCCAAAGAACGGAGCAAAAAGGACAAAGTATGAAGAAATAGAGACTTGGAGAAATTTTGGCTGAAAAATGTCCAAACGCGTGCCAGCCACTGGAAAAATCACGCCACCATTGTGCGCCATGGCGTGCATGAAAGGCTTGGATGAGTTACATCACGTGCGCGATGTGCCTTTTTTATGGGCACTTTCTGACGCATTATGACACTTCCTAAACACTTTAAAAAGAGGTTTTTGGCATTGCTTTAAGGGTTCTGCAATTTTACACTGCAAGCGATGATTTACAACACCATAAGACATATTTAGAGCGCATTTAGAGCCATTGGAGGGCAGTTCTTCAAGAGATATTTTATGCAAACCTCTTATATTTTATTGATATTGTACTATGAATAATGAGTAGCTAGTTTCTCATATGTTAGGTTTTGTTTTGATGAACCTTTTTTAATACTGTTGGAACACATGTTTGATTTGAGATTGCATAATTTATTGAAGGTATTATTTTATTCAATTGCACCTTGTTCTTAATGTTTTTTATGTGAGATACTCTTTTAATCTGATTTTGGACGCATAGGAAATACTGACCATTAGTCTATGTGTTGGGCCTAGATCAATTGTTGTGCTTACGCCGGTTGAATAGGAATAAGAAACCTCGAGTAGTTGCTTAGGGATTAACGTTCTATTATATTGCCTAATCTTGATTACGCTGGTGGACTATAGATAATAAGCTTTGAGTATAGATTCGCGAGCTATATACCAAGGGATTGGGTATAACGGTCTTGTTAATCCCCTGTGGAATTATAGTAATAATATCAATTATGCAATGCATCAAACATTAACAGTAGAGAATTAGGGAATTCTACAACAAAACATAATTGTTTGCGAATCATTGTTAGAATAAACTTTTATTATTTTTTGCACTAAAACTCGAAAAAACCCTCATTTACTATTTTCTAAACATTGTACGATTTTTGTCTTGTTAAATAGCAGTCCCCGTTGATTCGATCTTTTTATTATTTTGACACTATCAGTACACTTACTAAGAATTCATCAGGAACTCAACCAGTATTGGTGCATTTGCCTTGCCTTGTATCCTTTAAACTATTCATTCACAATCCCAATATAATTATCAGTCCACAGTTCCTCAAGCACGAGATGCTGGAAAGAGAGAAGTGATTAATGAATATGGCTCTAACATCTATCATGGGACATTAGATAAATCTTCGGCTTGGTGTCAAGGATGCTCTTCCCAAACAGGATTGGGGAGAGTGTTTTAAGAAAAGCTTGAGGCGACTTCCTCAAGCATAGTTTAAGGAAAGTCCTTCATACGGAGCTTGAGGCGAGTCCCTCAAGCGGAGCTTCTGGCTAGTCCATCAATCATTACAGACCGTGGCATGAGCGAAGCTTAGGGAGTAAAAACAACCAGAGACACTGCATGTGTCAGAGAATTGGGGAGTCTCACAACAACCTTTGGTGTGCCTAGTGAGTGGTTATAATTTCTTGTTCGGCCTAGTTTTCATTTTATAAAAGGGAAACTTCCTCCCATTTCCAAAACACGTTATCACCCACTTCTTTCTCAACGCAAGCATTTCATCTTCTCTATACTCAATCTCTCATTTTTGCTCGCTTACAAGTACACACCTTCTTTATTTTCTTCATTCTTTTTCTTTTTCAGTCATGGCGATTGTTAGAGGTTTAGACGAGAGTGGCAAAGTGTTAGAACCCTCTAGTGGTAAGAGTGAACCGAGTTATACCTATATTGCATGAAGAATGTCGGGTGAGTTGAAGGATCGGTCAACTACAGGCTTTTAGAAATATGGATATTTGGGAGTTATAAGAGAACTTCTTATTCTTGCAGTAATAATGACTCTCTTTCTTTCTGTTCTTTACCAAGAAAGTCGGAAAAGTCAATGGAGGCCATCACTCCTAAGCAAACAGGCGTCGAAGACTTCAAGAATATTATGAGGACATGGTGACCTCTTTTGGAGGCACACCATCCTTTATGGCACTGGCGACAAAGGTGACATTATTCTGGAGGCTTGTCGTGAAGAGGAGTAGGCCAACACGACTGTCCTACCTAACTCGCCCAATCCTTTTTTCTACTTGCATATGATCTAGGCTTTTAGTTTCTTTTACATGATTTGAATATGAGCTTCTGGAGGATGTAAATGTTGTTCCCTCCCAGATTTCACTAAATTGTCGGGCCTTCATTAGAGCCTTTGAGATCATATGTTGGTGATTGAACTCTAACCTTACCATATGGGTGAAGGTGTGAGAAACACAAGAAAGGGGAGTTCAAATTGGGATTCACCAAATAAAATCTTTTCATTGGTGACAAACTAAGTATGCTTAGAACATAAAATAGTAAATAAACACAATGATTTTTATCCTAGTTCATTGTTAACTAAGCTACTCCAGTCCACCCTCACAAGGATGATTTTACCTTCAACAAGGACTTAATCCACTATAACCAAACTGATTACAAAACAACCAACAACATGTCTGATCAACCATAGAGCCTTTGAGATTATATGTTGGTGATTCAACGCTAACCTTACCATATGGGTAAAGGTGTGAGAAACACAAGAAATGGGGGTTTGAATTGAGTTTCACCAAATAAAATCTTTTCATTGGTGAAAAAATAAGTATGCTTAGAACATAAAACAGTAAATAAACACAATGATTTTTATCCTAGTTCATTGTTAACTAAGCTACTCCAGTCCACCCTCGCAAGGATGGTTTTTCCTTCAACAAGGACTTAATCCACTATAACCAAATTGATTATAAAACAACCAATAACACGTCTGATCAACCTTATTGGCACCCCCAATAAGTCCTCTGATCCTTACTGTAAATCTACTAAAGCCGCAACAGGAATCTTCTTGAGCTCAGACCTTCACTCAGTCTCTCAAGGTATCATTCAACAACAGTTGAGTACTTTCAGTGTATTATATATTTGCTTCTTGTAAGAAGATTACACAGACTTTTCAGTACAATGAAGAACACCTAAGTGTTCTACTGCAAGATACGAGCAACGACTCCTTGCTTATTTACAAAACTATACACAAATTATTTCTCTAAAGAGTTTGCACAATGCTTTGGTGTAGTTTTGTAGAGCTTGATTTGAACCGATAGATTTGTCATTGTAATGTAGTTTTTTTTTTACTTTTCTTCAGCTTCCAAGTATTCCTTTTATAGCTTGTAAAAGAGATATGTTGAAATGGTAGAAAGGTAAATCAGAAATGTAGTTGTTGATTCTCAACGGTTATAATGAGAGTAGTCACTGTAAAGTACAAAAGAACTGTCCTTGCACCACTCTAGAGGAGTAGAGGTCACAATCACTTTATGTACCTTTTGTACACTATCACACGTTAACCATTTTGAACTTTTCTTCTTGATCTACAGAGGCTTCAGATATTTGAATGTTGAGCATTGAAGCTTGTTGTAGAAGAATCTTTCTTAAGCCTTAAAACCTAAGTCTTGGAGTCTTCATAACTTGTCACATAGAGTCTTGTCTTTAGAGTCTTCAACACTTGGTTGTAAGAACTTCCTTTTCTTTAGATCATCAGAACTTGTTCAACAGAACCTTGTCTTCATGATCTTCAGAACTTGTAACATAGAAGTAAAGCTTTAGAATTCCTCTAAAGCTTCAGAACTTGTACTAACGTTCCTAAGACATATTGCAGAAGATCAGTTCAGAACCTTGACTTTACCGTAACATGTAACCACATGTTTTTGTCCAGAGTGTATGTTCAGAACCTGATGATGTCACACACCTTGTACCATAGTCAGAACATTATAGCAGCAGCTACATACTAGACGAAACCATTAGTGTATATAATTGTCCTCTGAGATAACATATGAAGTTATCATCAAAATCTCAAGGCCAAATGTAGGAAACACTTCTTGTTTTTACAATCTCCCCCTTTTTGATGATGACAAAACCATGTATTTTGATAGAACAATTTATACAGGGTAATCACCATAATCGAAAAATTCAGAGTTAAGCTCACAACTCCCCCTGAATCTGTTAAACCAAAAATTTCATTTAAGCTTGTTCAGAGTCTCCCCCTGAGCCCAAGACTCACAAAATAAATTTTGAGTATCAGAACATAAGAATAGATAAGTAACACTTCCCTACAGGAATTCATCAGAGTCTTACTAGAACGCCTGGTCTTCATCTCAGAACCTAGTTTCTATCAGCACTTGATGAATAATCAAA